TATATATATATATATATATATATATCCACCACAATAAGGTAGTGATCGTGTTGCTGAACAGAACATGGAAATGTCGAGTGTTAATCAGACCTTTAGAATCATCATCATTGCTGTGGCGCTGTGAGCAGATGTACACACAGTGCAGCAGCTTCTGGAGAAAGTAAGAACCAGGGGGCCAAAAAAATCTGGCAAAAGAAAATAAAAATGGCAAATGTTTGGTAAATCTTTGAGAAAGCAAAAAAAGTGAAAATAAAAAATATATCGTGATGTCTCACTGTGAAGGACTCTTCTTTAGACCATGTTGGAGGTTTTCTTGGTGCACTGTGGAGTTTAAATATGTGAATTTGTTTCCAACTTCACTTTGAAAAGTAAAATATTATAGTTCCTTAAGTTTTCTCTCATAAATTTGCAGCTGACACAAAGATTTTACATTTTTATGTTTGAGAAAACTTTTATTTCCATATCTGGATTTTAGGTTTTATGCCTCGTTTTTCCAACTGGCTGCAGCCTGATAAAGAAACCACAAAGATGGACAAGTGTGTGTTTGTGTGTGAATGCTGCAGCAGCCTGATATCACATCCAGGCAGCAGCTGGATTTACATACAAAAAACATCTCACTGTTTACTATTTGTATCCACTGCTTGCAGCTTCATTCAGTTAAAGAAACCTTACCTGTCCCACATTCATGCTTACTTTTTAGATTTAGCAGAAATACCAAACACTGCTGCTAAAGCTAAAGTGCTATGATCTCCGCAGTCTCTTGTTAATTCATTTATGCAGCCTGTAAAATATGTGACCACAGAAAATATTCAACATCCCGCATTTATGTCCTTGACAAGAGAGGCTTTCTTAGAGGCATAATTTCAGCCCCAAATATAATCTCTCCTCTGGTCTGTGGTGCTGTTTGTCCGGTGAGATAGTTATGATGTGAGCTGCCATGTTTTAGAGCTGCAGAAATGTCTGTTGCTCTTCAATAGGCAGGGCTGAAAAATGAAGCTGAGGGCAAAAAACTGCAGTTCCTCTAAAAGCACGTCAGACTTCATATTAACGTTGCAGCAGGAAATAAACATTCTTACAGCCTGCCTGAAATTATTCAAAGCTTTTACCCCGTCGTGCCAGCTGTCAGGAGTTAATCTTTACATAATTACAAGAAGTGCGTTGAATACATCATCATTATCATAGATTCATCTGTACCACATCAGGTCCTCCTTTTTTAGCAGCCCTGCAAGCCAATCATTTGCTTTGTATTTAACTTTCGCCTTTAGAAATAAAGGACACGAGTCGAGCAGCTTCATAGTCCAGCTCATGAACCTGCTGTGTTGCTCTCATTGGTGAATACTCTTAATGATGATGAGCTTAACAGGTAAACAAATGAACATTAAGCTTCTCTCTACAGCAAACAGGAAGAAAACAGCAGGGCTGCACATCCCACAGGCACCAGTGTCTTTCACACACATTAACCACTGCTCCCCTCAGGCAGTGATGGAGTGAGTGCTTAACTCCCATCTTTATACATTAAAGGTGACACCTCCTCTATGAGGACGAGCGGGGAGTGATAAATGAGTCCACACACGTCCACACAGGTCGTTAGTCTTATGTGTGGCAGCGACACACCGCGCCTGCTTCGAGATTACGGACGTTTGCATCTTTGTTGCATCTTTACAAATAAAACAACCATGTGCGCTGGTGTTTGACACATATTAGTCTGCATTAACATGTCTCTGCTGGTCCAGGTGACATCCGTAACGACCTGTACCTGACACTGGAGCGAGGAGATTTTGAGAGGGGAGGGAAAAGCGTTCAGAAGAACATCGAGGTGACCATATATGTGCTTTACGCCGACGGAGAAATCCTCAAGGTAGGGAAACGTTCCTGCGGTAAAAAGCCGCCTTTTGTCCATTTACACATAATATAAACAGATGTTCAGCATCTTTCTTCTTCTAACAAAAAAATAAGTCTTTCATCAGTTTGAAGTTGTGCCTCATGTTAAACTTCAGGCTGGTTTATAGCAGCAAGTTTCTTTAAAGGCAGCAGAGAATTTGTAGCTCACAGTAAACATGTTTCTGGTGTTTTGATGGTTTAGTTCAAGTTTAGATTAGAATTAGTAACTAATTAACACACAAAGTAACAGCTGCAGCAGATGAACCAAATGACCTGTTTTTGGACTGTAAGAGTAAAGTAGTGAAAATGTGAGTTAGAATAAATCAGTCACTGTAAATGAGCAGCATAATCCACTATCAGCTCTTTTATGTGTGTGAAATCCACGCTGTTGACCGTGCACACTTCAGTACATGGTTTTAGTTTCTGTGC